ATCCCTCTAGAATATGTTAAAAACTAAATTAAACTGAATCATGATCAACAACAAACTTACTTGTATTCTACACAACAATACAAATTTGACAAAACATGGGACCCATTTATTCAGTTCATCTCTGTACCTTGATCCTTCCCATGGTGACCCTCTTTTTCTTCTTCTTTTCTTCTTCTTCTGTTTCTTCTTCTTTCTCTTCTCTTCTCTTCTCTTATTTCTCTTTCTTTTCTTACTTTTTTAGGTATTTTCTCACTCCTCCGTGTAACAAGGTTGGGTGAGCCCATTTGTATTGGTTTTACAACATTTGTCATGTTTTTCTTAATGCTTATTTAACCTCCCTGACGGTATTCCCGAGTGTAGCTCGGGGTAACATTTCAGTACCAAAAGCGGTAACCCCGAGCTACACTCGGGCTTACCCTGCGGCACTGCTCCGGCAAGTGTTCTTCACTTACCTTACCCTGCGCTCCCACGATGTGTCCCCTGCAGCGTCCCCGGCCATCTCCTCCGGCCGATGCCGGCATCCGGCTTCTGTGTCCTGTCCCTGTGACGTCGGGACGTACGGGCGCCGCCGCCGGCGGGAAATTTAAAAATTTTAAAAAATGTCATTTTTTTTTTTTTTTACATTTTACACAGTAAAACATTGCTGTTTCAACCTATTTCACATACATATTGTCCCTAGTGCTTTGTCCTGCGCCCTGCCTGCATTTTGTCTGTTCTTTCTGCCTGGAAACTGAGAAATGTCCATGGCGTCCAAAAAGTGTCCCTTTAGGTCAAAAGCGGTTTAGACCGGCTAGAGAACAGCGATAGTAAATTAGAACCACTTGCAGAATTGAGTGATAATGATTCGTGGGGGAAATTCGTCATCAGAAACTGAAAACGATTTTGCGACTGAGCTCAGCAATGTGCGAACTTGGCGCTCTATTTCACATTTCAGTGTTTTTGGTTTGATTATATTATTGAATTAAATTTTTTATTATTTTTATATTATTTTTATGATTATTTATTAAATTATAATTTATGATTTTGTGTTTCAAATTTTATCATACCCGGGATGTTTACTAGACTCTTGTTCGGACAGATTTCAGTGAGTTTTTCCTAAAAATTACAGCCTACAATAAAAAAAATACATATTTCCATGCAAAAAAATGGTACCCCGCTTTCAGCACCAAAAATCTGAAATAATCATACCGCCAGGGAGGTTAAAGCGCTTCATGTGGCTACAAGTATTGAGTCTTATTTTTGTGATATATCATGGCATTTGTCTTTGATGATTTGTATTTTGAAAACTTTTCAATAAAAACATTGAAAAATAAATTGCTGTTCCCCGACCAATAGATTTTTTTTCCTACATTTTTATTTTTGCTTTGGTACATGTTCCCCAAGGCATCGCCCAGCTCCCCATGCCATTTGTTTGACAGTCCCTTGTCTACGAGTACTAGAAAATGGAATTATTGCTTTTTAACAGTTTGGCTCCCCAATTACTTCATTGGGGTTTGTATTTGGAACTCAAATTGTCGCAATATTCACCAAAACACACCCCAAACTGAACCCAGGTACATTTGGCTCATCACTAGTGGAAACATGGCTCCTTAAATGCATGGTCAGTAAAAAAAAATGAACCCATACCATGAAGGTTATTGAAGTTATCCTCTATATTGGTAATCATAGACATTAGTCAACATTTGAAAAAAATCAGTTTTGAGTGAATTAACTCTATAAACTACGTATTCCAAAAAACTCTGGGTGGTCTCTAATGAAATCTGCCAATTTCTAAATTTTTGAGGTCTTGTGAAGTGAAAATATAATCCAAGTTTAATGCGCTATCCACTCGCAGGCCACTTTATTAGGTACACCTGTTCAATTGCTTGGTAACACAAATCACTAATCAGCCAATCACATGGCAGAAACGCTATGCATTTAGGCATCTAGACGTGATGAGGAAGACTTGCTGAAGTTCAAACCGAGCATCAGAAGGGGGAAGAAAGGGGATTTAAGAAACTTTGAACATGGCATGGTTGTTGGTGCCAGATGGGCTGGTCTGAGTTTAAAAAAAAAATGCTGATTTACTGGAATTTTCACACAAACCCATCTCTAGGGTTTACAGAGAATGATCTAAAAAAGAGAAAATATCCAGTGAGTGGCAGTTGTGTGGACGAAAATGCCTTGTTTATGTCAGAGGTCAGAGGAAAATGGGCAGATTGGTTCGAGATGATAGAAAGGCAACAGTAACTCATGTAAATATGGACCAAAATCTCTGAGGAATGTTTCCAACATCTTGTTGAATCTATGCCGCAAAATTAAGGCAGTTCTGTAGGCAAAAAGGGGTCCAACCCAGTACTAGCAAGGAGGACCTAATAAACTGGCCGATGAGTGTATATGTAGCACTTCACCAGCAAAGAGGAAAGTGCCAAACTATTTGCATTTCAGAATATATTTATACAATTTTACTCATAAGACATACAATGACCCAAAACACATGGCCAAGGCAACAAAGGAGTGGCTCAAGAAGAAGCACATTAAGGTCCTGGAGTGGCCTAGCCAATCCGATTGAAAATCTGTGGAGGGAGATGAAAGTTCGAGTTGCCAAATGTCAGCCACCAAACCTTAATGACTTGGAGAGGATCTGCCAAGAGGAGTGGGCCAAAATCCCTCCTGAGATGTGTGCAAACCTGGGGTCCAACTACAGGAAATGTCTGACCTCTGTGATTGCCAACAAGGGATTTGCCACCAAGTACTAAGTCATGTTTTGTGAAGGGGAATCAAATACTTATTTCCCTCATGAACATGAAAATCAGTTATCATTTGTTAGACATGCATTTCTTTTGAATTGTTTGTTGCTATTCTGTCTCTCAGTGTTACAATACACCTACCATTTGATTTTTAGACTGATCATTTCTTTGTGAGTGGAAAAAACATTCAAAATAGGCAGGGGATCAAATACTTATTTCCGTCACTCTACTCCTCACTAATGCCAGCCAAACCCACTTATGTAACCCTCTAGACAAACCTTTTTCAGCCAAGGTACCCTGTGGCGTCTTCAGGTTTCTTCAAGGTAGCCTTGGCAAAATGTGTCAGGGCTCTGTCCACAGCAGAGGTACTAGGAGACCTGGCACACCTGCCAGTACCTTTCATGGCCCGCAGAAGTGCACGTTGGCAAAAAATCTATGCGCATTGGCGCACGGACGCGAGCCGGAACATGCATGCGCACTGGCACATAGTTGTGCATGCATTGGCTCAGTTTGGCGCCAGACGGCCTTTATAAGGAGGCCCATCACTCCCTCAAATTGCTGGTTGATCTCTGGCTCCCCAGTACCTTTTTCAAACAAAAAATAAAAATATATTAAATAATAATCCAAAGATAAATAATGTCCACAAATCTTGTATAAAGTCCAACCACCATAAAATGATAAACAATGTTGCAATCATGTATAAACAATAAACACCGTGAAGAAAATCCACCACCAAATGAATTAAATAAACTCACCAGAGCGATAGGCTGATCAAATTATAAATCAGCATCATCGCTAGTGCTCTGGGAGCGATGATCTGTTTGAGGTATCCAAAAGTATAGGAGCAATACTCTGCAATCAGCCAACCCACGTGGATGAAGAAACTTTGATATCAAATGGATCTCCTCTCTCTCTCCATAAATAAGGCAATGCTCGGGGAATTGAGAAGAAATATAATAGTGCAGTACGTTCCTTAAACCATAAGCTTTATTAGATGCCAAATAAAAACTCACAAAGGAAGTGTCTAAGCCAACACCAGCAATACCAGACTCTGTCAATACCAAGGACGAGCCTCGCTCACCGCGGTAGCCCAGCCGACAGCCTCGAGGAACGTCCTAAGCGGGGGCTTAATGGATGTGATGTCAGGACGTTCCTCGAGGCTGTCGGCTGGGCTACCGCGGTGAGCGAGGCTCGTCCTTGGTATTGACAGAGTCTGGTATTGCTGGTGTTGGCTTAGACACTTCCTTTGTGAGTTTTTATTTGGCATCTAATAAACTTATGGTTTAAGGAACATACTGCACTATTATATTTCTGTTCAATTCCCCGAGCATTGCCTTATTTATGGAGAGAGAGAGAGGAGGTCCATTTGATATCAAAGTTTCTTCATCCACGTGGGTTGGCTGATTGCAGAATATTGCTCCCATACTTTTGGATACCTCAAACAGATCATCGCTCCCAGAGCACTAGCGATGATGCTGATTTATAATTTGATCAGCCTATCGCTCTGGTGAGTTTATTTAATTCATTCGGTTGTGGATTTTCTTCATGATGTTTATTGTTTATACATGATTGCAACATTGTTTATCACTTTATGGTGGTTGGACTTTATACAAGATTTGTGGACATTATTTATCTTTGGATTATTATTTAATATATTTTTATTTTTTGTTTGGAATTATTTGACACTTTATTTATGATTAGCGCATTCCTTTTATTATTAAGTACTTATACCTGATTTGGGCTAAGGTTTGCAGCCGAGGTGGAGATTTGTTCTTTTGGCGCTTTATTTTAACCTCCCTAGCGGTATGATTATTTCAGATTTTTGGTGCTGAAAGCGGTACCATTATTTTGCATGGAAATATATTTTTTTTTTATTGTAGGCCTGTAATTTTTAGGAATAACTCTCTGAAATCTGTCCGAACAAGAGTCTAGTAAACATCCCGGGTATGATAAAACTTGAAACATGAAATCATAAATTATAATTTAATAAATAATCATAAAAAATAATAATATAATAATAATACATTTAATTCAATAATATAATCAAACCGAAAACACTGAAATTTGAAATATAGCGCCAAGTTTACATATTGCTGAGCAAAGTCGCAAAATCGTTTTCAGTGTCTGATGAGGAATTTCCCCCACGAATCATTATCACTCAATTCTGCAAGTGGTTCTGATTTACTATCGCTGTTCTCTAGCCGGTCTAAAACCGATTTTGACCTAAAGGGACACTTTTTGGACTCCATGGATGTTTCTCAGTTTCCAGGCAGAAAGAACAGACAAAATGCAGGCAGGGCGCCGGACAAAGCACTAGGGACAATATGTATGTGAAATGGGTTGAAACAGCAATGTTTTACTATGAAAAATTTGTTTGGAAAAAAATGACATTTTTTAAAATTTTCAAATTTTCCGCTGCCGGCGGCGCCCGTACGTCCCGACGTCACAGGGACCGGAACACAGAAACCGGATGCCGGCATCGGCTGGAGGAGATGGCCGGGGACACATCGCGGGAGCGAAGGACAAGGTAAGCTCTGCAGGGACTCCCTATGCAGCGCCACATGGTAAGCCCGAGTGTAGCTCGGGGTTACCGCTTTTGGTACTGACATTTTACCCCGAGCTACACTCAGGAATACCGCTTGGGAGGTTAATTAGTATTACATCCCCAGTACCTTTGTCTGTGTTCCCTTGCTATTGTGATTTCCTGTTACCGATTCAGCTTGCTCTTGGACCTGTCTTCTCTGCCTGACTCCTGACCTGACCCTGGCTTGGCTAACGGATATTCTCCAACACTCTTCTGTGTATGACCCCGGCTATCCTATTGACTGTCTTCTCCAATCTCCACCTGGCACTTGACCTTGGCTTTGAACTGACTATACTGTGGTCCTCTGTTTCCCTGAAGGCTTGCATACCTCTCACAGGCGCCACCTGTCTGCAGACCCAATTCCAGTGCATCAAGTGTGCTCCTGGGTGTACCTCTGACAAGCACTCCTACAGGCGACCTGTGCTGCTTTGAGCCCAACTCCTTCTGTCCCATATCCAGGGGAGTCTGGAACTTAGCCGCAAGGGAAGCCCTTTCTCTATTGGCCTCTAACATCAGGTATGTGATAAAATGCCTAAAAAAATGCCCAAAAATCTGTATACAAGTCAGATGGTAGATCAAGCCTGCCTTTTAGTTACACAAAGCCCCAAGTTTTCATTGTGCACCATTACAACTTTCTAGCCACTGGCATCCTAACAACCATTGACATCACATAAGGAGGATGTCAGGCCATCTGCACAGCATCCTTTTTTTGCACCTCCCCTGCCCATCTCTGTCAGCACTGGGGTCACATTAGCTGAGTGAGGGAGAGAAACTGAGGGAGAAGAGAAACATTGGAATACTAGTCAGTATCAGTGTGCAAAAGTGTATTTGCTTTGGAAGAATAAATCATCATCTCTAATGTTGGGTTTCCTATGTGTGTGGATGTTGACGTATTATGTAAAACTATTAGTTTGGTTTTTACATTTTAGAATGAGGTGCCTCAAGATTGTCCAAGATTGTAAAGGGTGCCTTGACCAAAAAAAGGTTGAAAAACACTGCTCTAGACCTCCAAACTATTGTGAATTCCCAGAAGGCATTCTAATCTCTTACTCATAACAAGTTGATCAACCTGAGGACAACCCATGCCAGAACCATTGGCACCTCTGACACATTAACATATTTTTGTATATTATCCATCTAACAGGAGAAACTCAGTGGGCAAGATCATAACAACTGCTAGGTTAATAACCAGATGGAAGCCATTAAATTCACTAGAAATTCCCTTGGCATAAAGTTGAATAAGTTCATTCAATTAAATTCATCTTCTAGCTTTGTAGGCAGGTGTTATATTTTATGACGTATTCAGACCATATTAGGTCTTCTTAGTTTTATAGTTGGGCACCTTTAGGTTTACAGCCAATGTAACTTCTGTATGTACTGTATATAACATACCTGGCTAATGCCCCTTGAGGCTGGAAATCACCGAAGTAGACACTGCTATTCAAGTGATCTCCACTTGCTTCCAAGCCCCACGTCGAGTAGCTGCCCTGCTGCACTCTGAATACAGGAGGTTCACAGCTCCGCGCAGGAGCCGATCTGAGAATGCCTTCCATTTTCAGAATGAATAGAAAGCATTCTTTTGTTAGCTGAAGTGGAGAGAATTATGGAATTGCCCTCTCTACGGTATCCAAAACATTTTGCATTTTCATCAAAATGCAAAGGATTCTCTGAATGGTGATCAATGAAGTATCAGTGTCTTCTACAATGGTTTCCAGTTTCAAGGGGCATTGGATAAGTATGGTGTATACAAGTGTCAAGGTCCTACCTTTCCTCAGAGCTTGTGCTGCTCCATGTGCTGGCATCCATCTTAGGTGTCTGCAAAGCATTGTGGGATCCTTTATGCTTTCAGCCTCTGCGGCTCCTCCCCCCAGGAGGTGGCGGCTTATCACATATAAGTCTGCTGTTTGTAGCTGTCCATTGCATTCGTGTCCTGTCTGTTGCACAGTAGCAAGCTCCTGTTTAGTTCTCATTGCTCTCCTGGATACTGACTTGGCTTTGGCAAGACTCCTTCCTGGCTTCTGACCTTGGCTCTGGCGACCATCCTTCCTGGCTTCTGACCCCGGCTCTGGCGACCATCCTTCCTGGCTTCTGACCCCGGCTCTGGGGACCATCCTTCCTGGCTTCTGACCCCCGCTCTGGCGACCATCCTTCCTGACTTCTGACCCCGGCTCTGGTGACCATCCTTTCTGGCTTCTGATCCCGGCTCTGGCGATCATGCTTCCTGACTTCTGACCCCGGCTCTGGCGACCATCCTTCCTGGCTTCTGACCCCGGCTCTGGCGACCATCCTTCCTGACTTCTGACCCCGGCTCTGGTGACCATCCTTTCTGGCTTCTGATCCCGGCTCTGGCGATCATCCTTCCTGACTTCTGACCCCGGCTCTGGCGACCATCCTTCCTGCCTTCTGTCCTACCAAGTCATCCGCTGTTGCTGTTGGACTTGCATAGACTCTGTCTTGTTTTTGTACAATAAACCTACCTTTAATTGCACCTCCTTGTGTGTCTGGCTCCTCGCTCCCTGACAACAAGCTGGACCAATATAACTATATAAGTATAAAATATCCATACCTGGAATTCTTTGAGCTGGAAAACAACAATATCAATTATGTAGACTTATTTTTCTTCTCATAGAATGTGCAGCGTGACTCTTGTTCTAGATTGATACATGGAAGTAGACTTTTTATCGGAAAGCTGGACTCCCCATTGTGACTTATTCAACAAAGTTTTATGCAATCTAAAATCTCTTGAGTTCACAGCTATACATTGAGTGGGAAAATAAAAAAAAAGGAGGAAAAAAGTATGAAGTGCGGAGTTATTCTCCTGTATGCTTTTTGCTGCCTTGGCACAGCAGGACACAATTCTGCAATATAAAAAAAAGAAGAACATTTGGAAAAGCAGAACTGGCTTTAAAAATTCACCCTCTACAAAGAAAACAACCCGTTCCATGCAGGGAATCAAGCTGATTTACCAAGCATGATATGATCTGCTTCTGCTTTGGCTGGTAGAGTATTCTAGTCACCTGTAGTGAGGAACGGAGAGGAAGTGTCATTGGAGATTATATTTGCACAGATCAGAGGAATCCTGTTTTGTCACTTAGAGACTGTAGGAGAAGAATTTACATCTGGAGCAAATAGCGCTGACAAAATTTATAATGGAAAAAAAAAATAGAAAAAACTTACTCTAAGCTCAGTGTAAGCCAAAACAAACCTAACCAATTTAAGGAGAGTATATGATGAAATAATATAGTTACATCCATTAAAATCTGCACCTCAAAACAATCAATGGATCTAAATAAAAAGGCAGCTGAAAATGATTTCAAATCTACACTTTCCCTGTAAAAATGTAAGCTTGCTTCACTGCCCATCTTCCCTACTGTCTCCCATCTTCCAGTGACCTTTTTTCATGATAGGCAGCCTCAATGAACAAAACAGAGTCTCGGAAGGTAGTGGCAACATATCATCTCCCTGAAGACATCAAATCACAGACGAAACTTGTCGAGGCAGAGTTTCCCAGGTAATACGTTACATTCCATCCCTGTAGCACAAGCCAGATTCTAGTCTCAGGGTGGCGGTGGCCATCCTATGGTGTGTACCTGGTGCCGGTCCTTAGGCGCACATACATGTGAGTGAGATGTAATTGTAAGGTTTTTATTTGGTTGAATAAAGTGGGATGCTTTGCGCAATTAAACTTTTCCCTGATACTGTTTTTTGGATACATAAATGGTCAAGTTGATGACAAGATACATAGCGGGTCCAGCTATAAAAGCACAGTGAGACCTATCTAGTAATAGAAGGTTCATCCATTGTGGTGAGTATAAATCCATGTGGGGTTACCTGGAGCACCTAGAAGTGGTCATGTGTTTATTTGTTACTAAAGGCACTATCATCTGATCACCTACCTGCAAGCACCAAGTACAGGAACACACCTTATAAGAAATGGACTGCTACCTGGAAAGGTATACCTGAGCAGCCTTGGATTAGCTAGGCACAGTGGGACTGATGTGCACTCTAGATTGTACTGTTGCAGTGTTTCACGTAAAGTTGTAAACCATCTAAATGCTTGTTCTGAAGTTACTACACATGGTGGTACATTGTGTATTGAAGAACAGAGCCTTGCTATGGACACTTGGTGTGAAGTGGAAAACAACCAGTGGAAAGACATGACAGCCAGACAGTGGGAGTGCAGTACCAGCATGAATAAGGGTCTTACACATATTGAGGGAACAATTCACTGCTTCCCTCCCTAGTGGTTGGTGCCCCAGCAAACTGGGACTCAATACCTATGGCGGAGACTCTAGGGACCTAGTCACAAGTACAGAAAGGAGTCATGCATGCATAAGGGCTCACACAAGTACATGGCTGAACTGCAGGCTATCACTGGGAGTGAGGTGATAGGAAAGCTGGACTGGTGGAACAGAACGTATGCTCAGTGTGTCTCCTTAAAATGTCACATTCCATGTGGATGTATGTATCATGTGGTGCATTCAGCAAGGGTATGATACAATTGCACCTGGTGTGCAACTCACTTTTAATTTAGGGTGCTGCCTAAATCTCGAGTTGACATGAATGCGGCCCCGCCGTGTCCCAGGCATTAGTGAATGTGTACACCGGAAAAGGAGGAGAGGAGAAAAAGGCCCCAATGCTTGTGGGGGAGTTGGACCTGTCCACAAGTTGACTGTGCTATGCGTTTTTTTTATTTATATGCCCAAGTTGAACAATGCATTTTTTGTAGAAAAAATCCTTTAAAAATATCTTTACATAAAACACCCCTGATGGGGGGGGGGGGCATTAAGAAAATCCAACAGTTGACATGCTTATTTAGTTAAGCCCACCAGTGGGTAAACGGGTATTGAAGTGATTGGTGTCACCAAGAGAATACTGTATGCTATGACCCCAGTACAGATTTATGTAAAGATATTTTAAAAATAATTTTTCTACAAATAAAATATGTATTGTTTTTCATAATCTTGTGTTCCTTTGCCATAAAAAGTCCGATGGGTAAAAATTGCATTGTTTGTAGTTTCAAAT